TCACACAAGCATGACATAGACGATGTTTTGCTGTTTATATCGATAAAGTTCGATGACCGCCAGACAGTTCCGATCTTATCCTTCTTGATTACATTATGCGTAGAAACAATATAACATCATCTCCTGTCTTGTATAAAGCTTATCTTTTCAAAGAAATTTTAATCACAAATTGCTGCCATTTTTTTGCGCAACTTATTATTATAGTTCATCACGAGTTTTCGGAAACAATCATTCTGACTAGATTTTTTACAACGAGCTTGAAGTCTCTCTATACTGTAATCTATGACATACTTAGTGTAGACTCTGAACTCGACGGTGTGGAATTCGCTTCGTTTCAAGCCACCACCTTTAGATGGGTCAACATCAATGGGCTGGCGTGTTGAGTTTCGCCCGATGGATGTAAGTTTCTCTATTCTATTTCACCTTCCAATATCATGCTCGTGTCTGTGTTACAGCTGCAAATAACAGATTTCGAGAATGCCGCATTGGTTGTATTTCTAGCTCTTTTTACGCGAGCTATGCTTACTTATGACATTGATCTACGAATGTCAATCTCTCTGGTTAAAGAAAATATGGAGCGGGCACAGAAAAGAAATACGGTGCAAGAAAGCAAATTTCACTTTCGAAAGGTCATATTGCCCGGTAAGTACTGATCATTTTCTTCTGCTAATTAAATTATTCGAAATTTCCTTGTAAAAGTTAAGTACCATATCTCTTTTACTGTTGAGACTCAGTAAAAGTTCTAGTTTTTCGATCATTCTATAATTCAGGTGACAAGTCCGATCAAACTCAGATTGATGGCGACGAAACTCGAGAAATGTCTTTGAACGAAATCATTAATGGCTCGGTAAGTGAATATCTAACGAGTCTATTCAAATGAAAATTGTAATCATTGCATAGACCACATTTATTGGCATCATTCCACTCATTCAAGAGTATTTGCATACGCTGGAAGATATCGATACGGCAACGCGCCTGACTATTGACAACTATCTCAGTTTGATCTCTAAACGTGCTGCAGGTATGATATTATTGTTTTGATTGTAAACTCTTTCAGTCGTTTTCAACCCAAAAGATCGTTACACAAGAATAGAAAGGGCTGTGTTTTCGAGGCTATAGGCGTCATCTGGAAAAAATACAACTTCTATCAAGATTGTAGCCTCATTATACTGTATGCATTTTCATGATAACTTTTTTGTGATGCTTGTGTAGACTGAAAAATTTCGATAAAAAGTTACAGATTAATACAATCAATTGTTGTGATAGATGAAGCTTTTCGAAACAATAGATCTTTTGTAATTCAGGTGCTTTGTTGACGGATGCTGCGTGGATGCGACAATTTGTGAACGAGCATCCAGCATACAAGAAAGACTCGATTGTCAACGATGAAATTCAGTATGATCTCATGTGGCTCATTCAACAAGCGACGAATGGAAAAGAATCCATTCCACTTGTGCGACCACCCAATATAAGGTCGGCCAGTGAACGTTTTACTTCCAAGCCGCGTTCATATACTGTTTAATAAAAAACTTTGTATTTTTCATGCAATGTGTACAGAATTTCATAAAATAAAATAACACAATAATGGAAACTGTATCTCTTTCGAGAGAGAGAGAGTTTAATTTTTAGAAGTTTTTGCTCAACAGTCACAGTCGACATTATTTAGTCATGAATCATTAATATCATTCATAGTTTAATAAGTCGTCTCCTTCAGAAATAGAAGATTCTAACGAGTTGCCGGTTGCATCTGAGATATTGAGGGTGGGATGAGTCAAAGCAAAGGGTGTGGGTGCGGGTGTGGGTGGTGGGTGTGGATGTGGGTGTGGGTGTGGGGTGTGGGTATGAGTGTGGGGTGTGGGTGTGTGGGTGTGGGTGTGGGGTGTGGGTGTGGGTGTGTGGGTGTGGGTGTGAGTGTGGGTGTGTGGGTGTGGGTGTGTGGGTGTGGGTGTGGGTGTGGGTGTGAGTGTGGGTGTGGGTGTGTGGGTGTGGGTGTGGGTGTGGGTGGGTGTGGGTGTGTGAATGAACATAACGCAATTACACACACCCACACCCACCCATACCCTCACCCACACCTACACCGACACCCACACCCACGACCACACCCACGCCCACACCCACACTCACACCCAAACCCACACCCATCCACACCCTTGCTGCAAAAGAGAAATCGTCTCGAATCGAAGAAAAGAACTTATTGTTGGCAGATGATATAAACAAAGATCTGTATGACAGAGGAGAAACACAATTGTCCAAATAGGATTGATCGACAATCGAATGTTTAGTTGGTGAAAAAGCAACTCCTTATTATTGAAATCAGTAATTGAGGAAGTGAGGTCGAAAGCAGAAGAAGATTTTCTTTGAGAAATTCAATTGAAAGTCTAATTTCAATTCGAATAGTTTCTTTCTTGATAAAACATTTTCAAAAGAGATTTGTTTTTGTTATGAGTGACACTAGATCTCTTAATCCTTCATTAGTGTCCTCATTTTGCGTCATTTGAAACCATCCAGAAATTTTTATAGATATTATGAGATGGAAAAATGTCTTTTTTTTGCGTTCTAGCTTGATATAGATTTACTAAAACTAGTGGATCAATAAAGAAGTTATGAACCTAGTGGAATAAAAAAATAAAGCAAAAATATGGTGCGAGTCTGCTTGAACCCCACAACAATAACAAAGGGTTAAACAAAGTTTATGGATAAGAAGAGATAAATAGTCAGCAAATATTCTCTTTTGGCCATTCAATAAGCAATTTTCGTTAATCTGTCACTCCATGAAGTGTTCTTATAATATTTATCTTTTAAGAAATTGAACAGGAAAAAAAACAAGAAAGTTGTTGAATTGGATCAAATGATTTGTTCAAGGTAGTTGTAATTAGCAGAAAAAATGATCATTTTTCGGAAATTTGAAGATGTTCATGATTTGAATTCGAAAGCAAGAAATATTGATCAGTGGAGAACACTTGTTCAAGTTCAACAAATCTTCTAAGATTTTTCTCTGCGAAACGAGTTTCAATTGTAGATTTTGAACTGTTCGCAAATCAGAATATCTTCTGCATTTTTTGTCTTTGAAAACTGCATTAATTATGTTTTGACACTATAATAATATACTCCTCAATTAAGTACGCTGATCATCCGTCAAATAGTAATTATCTTCACATATCGTCAAATTTTCATAGCTTTTTTCGTTTCATTTGTCTTCATCTATTCACTGTATTGAATCGCTATGAAAATTCTACTATCACGCATGTATATTTACCTTAATTATCGTGATCTTTCTGCCTAAAGATCAATACTATAAAATGGCGTACTTATTAAAACGTAAGACAGCACACAAGCAGCAATAGTTTCTAGAATAGCCATGCATCTCGAATGTCGTGTAACTGACTAGATAATTTCGTTCTGTTCTGTTGTGTCAACAGCATAAGACAGTCAGTAGCAACATTAGATATAATGCCTTCCCATGATGATAGACGAAGGAGAGTCGGCAAAAAAGTGGCATGATGATAACAAAAAACAGTGTACATGTCTTTTTTTCTCACTTTTCAAGAAGATTTCTTGTTTGCCGTTGAATCCCACTTCAGATTTGAGTAACTGCAACCATTATTTTCCTCCTGCAACTTGTCTAGAACAAACTAAAACAATATTCATCCAGGATCGTTGAATAATATCTGCTACAACTCGTAATTAGTAATATTTGCATATTTAAAGTGGTTAGACCAAGAAGAGACCATTGTGTTGTGTCACTACAAGTAATAATGTAATTCTGTTTACATTTTAGAACCTCAGGCATCTAATTGGTCACAGAACAAGCACGAAAGTGAGGGTGAGGGCGAGAAAGTTGATTGTGTCGGGCCTCAAAGTGTAAAAGTACCAATGATGTTAATCATTGTTCGATAATAACATTTCATATGAAAGGAGAATCACATGTTGATCATATTTCCTAACAGGCAAATGAAATTTGTTTCTCTATCATCAAAGACTCAAATAGGGTAAATATAATCCAAGCATTTGAATATAAATAAATAATGATTACTTTATCTTATGTAAGAAAGCTCGTTTCCGGTAGAAAGGTAGTCCAGCATACTGATATTGGTGTTTTACATACTCTGTAAAAAATGTATTAGGCAAAACTTTTCTTCCATGTTTTACGCTTATGTAGAACCTAGAAAAAAGTTTCGCTATTGTTGTGGATCCAGAATATTTTTTGCTATTTGGTATAGCGATGGGATCAGTTCGTGTTTTTGTGAAACCAAAGTGAGTCAAAAAATCCTCAGAAACCAGCCGCAACCTGTTGAAATTAGCTTAAGGCAGGATGGGATTGGATGGGATGAAAAAGGTTTTAGATGGAATTTACGGGTGGCCCAAGTCTTTTTAAAATATTTCACAAAACGTCACTCTTTATCTTTTTCAGACCAATGAGTTTTCTAGCCATTGTGGTCGTGCTTTATCACCAGCAAATATTGTCCCTACAGGCTTTCGTACATAAACTACTTGTTTTTTTTTGTCTACAAATGCGTTATAAAAAATTGTAAAAGTCACAAGATCCAATATAGTACATGAATTATTTGCTAGCAAGCGAGCATGTTAGACGATCTGTCAACTATCTGAGAAAACCGTAGCAGAATTTCAAACTAAAAGATTCCAACTATTCTTCTAAACATATTTTCCATGTTGAATGGTGTTTCATTGGGAAGGGACATAATTTTCGTCATTTCGCTGGTCTCTGCTACTGAGCATAGTTTGAGATAAATAAATTTTTCTTTTCGTATAGAAATGCTCGTCTTTCGAGAGTCATAAAGGACAAAAATCGCATATTACTCTGCATTCTCTTTTTCAGAACGATTTTTTCATATGTGGAAAGCATCGATTTGAATGACAGTTGACATGGATGTCGGTGTGAGTGTAGGTGTGGACTGTGGCTGCGGGTGTGTGGATGTGGGTAGAAATTCACTACACGGACACCCATACCCCCACACCCTAGTATTAGGATTATGATATCTATGCGTTATCCATTTGCAACATCGCCTGCGAGTGAATGATTGGATCGTTGTATATTTTACCTCGATGAAATTCACACAAGAGGAACTGATTTCAAGTTTCCCGTAGGATTTAAAGCTGCTGTAACATTGGGAATTAATTTAACAAAAGATCGTTTTGTTCAAGCATGTATGAGTATGAGAAAATTAGGGAGCGGTCATTCATTAACATTTTGGAGTTCCGATGAAGTTCGTCAACAAATTGAAACATTGAAAAATAAAACACTTCATATCAATCATAAAAGAAGAAAAGGTGATGGAAGGATCACATTGATAGACATTCTTCGATGGGTTTATGACAATACTGAAAAAGCAACTTGGGGTGGATTACATTACTGGGCAACGCAAAGTCTGAGTTTTCAACGAAAAGTTTCGGCATTTCAATCAATTGATTGGAATAATAATCAACAACAATTCAGTGTTAAGCTGATGAAAGACTCGGCAATGGGATGTTTAGAACCTCAAGTCATTGAACTTAAACTTATGTATGGGGCTGCGAAAACATTGCAAACCTTGCTTGAAATACATGATCTCAGGTATCAGCACACTTCTTATCAAGTATGTAACGATATTCGCGATGCAGTATTAAACCGACTCAAAGTTTATGGCGGAACCAAACAGCGTTTGTCGCAGCTATTAGATGGAGAACAACAAAGAGAGTTGGAACAAGAATTAGAAGAAGAACGACAAATAGAACTTTCCCCGCCTGTTAATCCGTGTAAGCCTATACTGCATGAAGAAATAAAGCGTCTATGTGATATGGATGATGTTGCAATGAATTTAAAACAATATCCCCATATATTTCGTCATTTGCCTTATGCCTTAACTGGTACAACATTGTTCAGTGACTGTCAAACCGATAGTTGGCAGAAAAATTTGTGGGTTTTGACTGAATTTCAGCGTGTTATTTCGACCCAAGGAAAATCATTGAATCCATTTTTACGTCCACTGCGGTGGATCTTAATCTATCGCAACCAAGAACTAATATTGCTCAGTCCTTTTGAAGCTAATTGGGTAATGGGTCGTTTAAGTGAACTTCATCGTAAAGGAAAACTGATGAATCCAGTGAGCACGACGTTGCGTTTACTATTACCCCGTATGAGACGAAATCAATCAATTTCTATCAATACTCCAACTTTTACAGTCTCTCCATTAGTTGGACTTCTGAGGCATACTGTAGAGTTTGTCACATCAAACGATTGCTTAGTTCAGTTGTTTATTTTCAATGATACTCTCTATTTTGAATCGATTGATGAACAAACAGCGTACTGCCAATGTTTAAGTTTATGTCCAAAACCACGATCAGAACAAGAAGAAAAAGCTTTTGAACAAGGCTGGATTGGAACAGATGAATTTGTCTGCGAACATCTACATCGTATCCATTTAAATATGAACAATGTTCGGTTTCGAAAGAATCTGCTAAAATTTGTTAAACAATTAATCAAAACTCGAAATAATATGCATGCGCCTATATTTTCCGATGTGGGCAACATCGTTTTCAATGCTCGTAAACCTCTTTGATTTTTCAGTAATTGAAATTTATTATTCTAAATTGCTATAAAAATGTATCAAGCGATTAATTTTATTCAAGTGTGTGCGAAGAAGCTAATTTGATTAGTGATGAGGTTAGCAATGAGTATATGAAAAATAAGTATGAAATTTCAATTCTAATGTCTACTGTTCAGTTAATTATAACTTTTTCTGTTGCGCATCGACCAAAATTTTCTGGTGAATACATTTCTTCAGCTTTAGTAGGTGGAACGATAAATGTTCCAGCACACGTTGCACGCATTACATAACTCCATTCATAGACACCAGGCCATAATAATGATCGAAATGCTTCAGCACGTTCATCTCTCAGATTTTCATGATCAGGCCAACCAATAGTCGAATGAGGCCGGAATCCGCAAAGGAAAACATCTCGTTTTGATCTCGATACTGATGATTCTGTATCTCCAGTAATTGTTCCTTTTAATTTCGTATTTAATGGCTCACAACCAGCTGGTAAGTAATCGGCTAATGCTATATGATATCGTCGTTGTGTTGTTGTCATGGTTAGTATGACTTTGATTTTCTCATTCAATTTGAATTTCCACGTGCCATCCTCTTGTTTCTGAACATGTGATGAATCATCGACAGCGATATACGTTCGTTCGATTTTAAAGCCAAAGTTAACCGCATTCAAATGTAGACTTGACGGAGCATAACTCAACCCTATGCGATAGTATAATCGGCCACTGCCCTCTTTATGCAAGATCAGATTTTTATTGTTATTATCAGCGTTCGATGATGACGACAAAATTGCTTTCATTGGAATATTTACTACGTGTGTATTTGTTGTTCGACCTGTATAGATACGAAAATGTCAAATTTATCACGAGTTCTTTTTATATAACCTCACCTTTATATTGATGTTGACCACAGTAATCGTTGTCAAGCCAAATGTTTGCAACGAAATCCGGTGTATCTTTTTCTTTGATATGAAAATATTTATCCAATGCAATCAATACGAAGCAGTTTTCCTGTGTAGATTTCCATGCACCCTTCACTTTATGTGCTTGTAAGCTCTTACACAATTTAGTGCATAGAGTTGAGTTTTGATCAATATGCAATAATGATTCTAATAATATAGCATCTGTTCGACGATCCGAATGTAACATGACCGATTGACCATCATCACCATACGACGTAGTAAAATTAGCTGTTTCACTTGTTTCGTTGACCTTCCCTTTGAGATGTTTGTAAATGCTTTCAATGGTTTTTTTTTTAGCATTATCCGTATCTGTTGACAATGCTACCAATAGCCATCCTAATGCTTCTAAACTGAGTTTGTTAAATCCAGCTTTCTGGAATAATTGTGAAGCATCGTTTGCCACATTTTGACCATTTTTCGCTCGGACATACAATGCATAACTCACCAAACTAAAGCGAGTTGTTTCAGACCAGTACTTAGCGGATAGAAGGCGGTTAATTTCTTCTTCTATATTCTCAAGGTATCTGAGTGCACTGTTCAGCATCTCGTAATCAACAGAAAATACCTTAAAAAAGGATGTGAAAGTTCAATCTTCTATCAGTTTCATGCGAATTGATATTTACCTTTTTCTGATCAATAACAACCAAGCAATGTGCAACATGCACACTCATAAAAGGATCGGCATCTGAATCGCTTCGATTTGTCCAGTAACCAAAGCCCCCATTTGAATATTGACGGCCTTTAAGTTTCTTCATGTCGGATTCCAGCTTAGATTTCACTTCGGATACTTCGGGTAAATCTTTACTTTGAAATGCTTGTAAAACGTCCCATAGTGATTGTACACCAAGTAATCTTGAACTTAATTGTTCTGAACACTCGTATGGATATGTATAGAGCGCAATGATTGCATCGGTTAATGATGCTAATGCTGTAGAACTTGTTGATACTGATAACTCGCCAAATTGTGGAATAACATTTTCTGGTGCTTTTATCGGCTGTAGAACAACTTCTTCATCGGACACATCACCGTATGTTGCAAATGCTTCCGATGTTGCTGGTGTGAATACAGGTACACTGAATTCAATGGCATCACCAAATGATGGAGATGTTTCACTCTTGACAGTACTAGTTATGAACTGGAATCGAGCCGTACCAGAACGTACTGTTGACAATGGGAATGTGAGAGCAACTCGTTTATTTGGCTGTAGAGCAACAGAGTAACCAGCCATTTGTTGATTTTCTTGGGATGCGAACAGTTTAGCATTACTAGCGCGTAGACCAGCATGTAATTGTAATGATGAATCAGTTTGATTTTGTAGAATAACTGAGAAATGAGCTGTATCACCATAGTTAAGAAATCTTGGTGGTGAAGGTCGAACCATAACTGGTAATTGTACAGTAAGTGACATTTCACCCAAACCATATTGTTTATCATTGGCTGCCAGTGCCCATACGCGATAGCGTGTTAGATTATCAGGTAATTTAATTTCACATGAAACATGTCCTGATGGATCAGTGATTAATGATGGCATCCAGCACGCTAATGGATTGAAGTTCGATCGAACAGCTATTTTTTCCTGAGGACCAGAACCTCCAAAACCGCCGATTCCACAAGCCTCCATACACAGCTCCCTCGACGCTGTTCTGAAACAGCATGCGTGTGCCTTTATCGAGGATGAATTGTAGCTTTGTTGCATATCTTTCTTGAACTTTTCTATATCTTGCTTACTGAATACCAAACAACGATCTCTATCATGAAATTGCTGGATACTTGCTAATCGGTTAGGATAAAATAAATCTAATGGATTAGCCAATTTGTGATCAGTTAATGATAAAATTGCTTCATCAACAACAACCAAGCAAACTTCAACTTTGTCTAAAGGTGCTTTGCCAACATATTGTGTAACGTTCACATCGATATGGATGATTGATGATGGTGTAAACACTTTATTTGTTTCCTTTGTATTAACTAAAACGTCTAGTTTATAAACATCTCTGGATATTTCGATTAATTGTGAACCAGTAGCAATTGCTGGACGATTCTGTGAATCAGTTACTTCAGTTTGTCGTGGAGCTGTGCCTACTAATTCGGCATGTACGGTGAAGCTTGGGACCCAGTCTTTTGAAATTTTAAATTCAACAGTCGTCGAACTTTGTCCCGATTCGATCTGAAATGGAATCGGTTGCGAAACTTGACCATCACAGTCAAATACAAGTAGACCATTTGCTGGACTGAACGGAGCTAATATGAGTAGTTCACATGCGTCGTTTGATTGATAATTCGTTGCATTTGGTACGATTTTGACTTCTTCTATTGGAACATAATCCACCTTTTGTTGTTCCATTTCTTTTCCGAAACCACCGCAGACGTAAAGACCGTCGTAGAAACTCATAGCTGATCGTCCTTGCTCATCCTTGACCGTAAATGAAATATTGTACTCACCACCTAGTATCGAACAGAAATACAAGATTTATATTCACAAATAGCACTTTGATTTACCTAATTTTGGTGTAAATTCAATGTTGATGGCATCTTTACTTGAACTAACAGCCGTTATGACTTGTTCATCTTTGACATTTTCATAGATGGTCAAACCATTTTCATCTTCTTTTCTTTCTTTACCATTTCCAACTATTTTGCATTCAACAACAATATTATCAATTAAATTTCCATCAACATCGGTTACAATGACTTTTATTGGTACAGGTTTATCTTTCTTGCCGAAGTATGTTGACATTTGAAATCCAACATAGTAAGTACATGGGTGTACGATAAATTGTGTTTGTGTTTCTTGTATTTGGTGATTTATATCAGTAATAGCTGCCAATGCAGACACAACCGTTGGTCTTGGTTCTTCTTCAATGCCGTGATAACTAATTTTGATTTCATGCATACCTTTATCGTTTGTTGTACCCTAAAAGAAAGACGATTTCTCAACTCATGTTTACATAGGCGGCGGAGCCACGAGGCCTGGGTAGGCACGAGCCTACCCTACATTGGAGGAGAGTAGGCTTGGGTAGGCTCAGGTAAAGGCTTGGGTAGGCTCAGATAAACGCTTGGGTAGGCTCGAACCAGTACAGATAAAGGCTTGACTAGGCTCGATTTAATGTAAAATTTTTCTAATATTAGATAATTTTCATGTTCTTCTGTCAGATGACACGTTATTACAAGGTCAGTTCACATCTTATTATTACAAACTCGTGCCCAATGACATACTGATTGGTTTCGTTGACATCTATATTTACGTCGAATTTTTTTATTTTCAATATAAGATAATTTAACTTTTGTTCTAAACTTCTATTCAAAACAACGTTTGAATTGTAAGTAATTAAAGAACAGTACTCTTCCATAGACGGTGGAGCCATTAGGCCTGGGTAGGCTCAAGTTCACCCTAGATTGGCTGAGGGTAAGCTTCAGTAGGCTCAAGCTTGGACAGAACAAGACTTTTGTAGGATCTATTAAATGTGAAGGTTTTCTATTATTGTCTAGTTTTCCAATTTTTCTGACAGATGATACGTCGTTATAGAGTCAGTGTCAGTCATAGGCGGCGAAGCCATTAGGCCTGGGTAGACATAGCCCTACCTAGACTGAGTATCTAAAAAGCATACTATGGGCTATTTAATTTCAGGCTAAATTTATCAAATAAAAATAATACTTGATTTCAAACTGAAACGTGAGTCTAGGAGTGAGGGGGGGAGTGACTGAGGGTGTGGGTGTTGGTCTGGGACCCACACACACACCCACACCCATGGTGCGGGTGTGGGCGCGCGAGTGAGGGTGAGGATGTGCTTGTGGCTTTGTGTACTATAGGCTTTAGTCCCCTGCACAAGGGACTAAGCGGGGACTAAGCTTTTTGTGGGGGGGACTAAGGGGGACTAAGCTTTTTGTGGGGGGGACTAAGGGGGACTTTGCAGGACTAGGGGGGACTAAGGGTTTTTAGTGGGACTACGTAGTATCAAACGAGAAAAGTTTGATTCGGAAGAAGTTGGTGCGGTTTTTTTGATTTTAGAATTCAGTTTGAAATAAAAAAGCCCATAGACTCCTAAAAAGACGTTCATACACTCCATTCTACATAAAAATGTTATATTATTGCTAAATTTTCGTTTGCTTATAACGCATGATATATTATTACAAGATCAGTTTATTCTGTATCTGCTACCAACCATAGGCGACGAGGCCACAATGGCTGAGTAGGCGAAAGCTCATCAAGATTCAAGTTTCATAGGCTAAGAGAGACTCAAACATTTGCTTCTTACTCCATCAGATTAAAAAACTTGCGTACTGCTCGAAAGTTTTTGCTGCCATCAGCGGTAGCTGCTAACATTTTTAGGGAAAAAACTGAGTTTCATATGACTAAGTGTTGCAACGTACATTGATAATGAGTTCACGTTATGCTCTTTTGTTACAAATGAAGAATCATCTTACAGGTTACTTACAATCATATCTGCTGGATGATGTCAAAATTCTCTCGCCTTTCTGCAGTTACTCTCAGATGCCAATCAAACATTTTTAACACGCTGAACAAACCCACAATGAGATTCCTTTTCTGTGAGCACTGCTACGTCGCCATAATTCTAGTTTGCACTAATACAAATCAAAAACTCTTTCCAATGTGCAGCTCCTGAGATAGGTTCAGAATCTAACCAACTCTAGTTCTGAGCCTGGGTTTGAAATTTCTCTGTTGACTAGAGTCAGATCTGGATCCAGGCACAAATTCTCGAATTCAGACCTGATAGGCTCTAGCAGCACGTAAGAACTAGTTAAAGCTTGGTTATTACGAGATTATCGTCAAAATTGTTTGAAAAATGTGTAGGGTGTGCTGGTTGTCCGAAAAATTAATAAAAACAATGTAGCATCTTTGAAATAATTATCAAATTGAGAGTAAAAACCTTGCATTGAGAGTACGAGCACTACGAATGCGGCTTCGGATCCTAAAATTTTGCGTCCGATGGACTATATTTGAGGGTCACTATTTAATGAAAACAAAAGTTTAAGTAACTCTTTGAATACAAGTTTTTTGCCACAAGTTGCAAACTCATCTCTGATCTGTGCTAATGTTATGCATTAAAAAATTTGAGTTCGAAATAAATAATATTGATTGTATTTTATTTGAATCACATAGCATAAAAAATGACCCTCTCTATCTTTAACCTGTCAGTAAGGCTCGTATAAAAATATTGAGCCTACCCTCGATTCAAAACGCTCCGCCGCCTATGCATGTTTAGGTATTCGAATGCAAATTCTATTACCTGAATATGTTTTGCAGGATATGATATTTTGTTTTCATCATTATGACGAAACCAGAAAAACATCGGCTCAGCTCTACCAAATGTATATTCAGATCGATTAGCTGGTTTAAATTTGGTAGTTTCAGCTCGTACTGTCCATCGGACATTTGCATCGTTTAGATAACCACCTGAGAACAATTTTCCTTGACAAGTAACGATGACATGTTGATCCGTGGTTGGATGACAATAATAGGTTGTTGCTGATTGAATCGTTGATGAAACTTCATATTCTGGTCTTCTGAACTCTTGAATTTTGAATTGATGTGTGTAACTATTTACTGAATCTGGTAAGTTGAATGCTACGTATGCATTGCCTAAATATAATACAAACACAAACTCAAAATCAATTTGTTTCTCTTTTTCTTATAGGGAATTACCTAGATTGACATTGTCAGGCAATGTAAATTGAATATCAAATGCACCATAAGTATTCAACTTGACTTTTGACTGGAGAAGTTGCTCACCACGAGGATCATGTACCGTATAATCAATGGTACCTTGAACATAAGTTGGTAATCTTGCTTCACCTTTCACTTCCAATAATCGAACATAACCTTTTATATGCACATCCTCTTTCGGTTTGTATAAACCTCGATCATTGAACACATGCCAAACATAAACGTCCATGTATGATGGATAAGCATGAACATTTACTGACATACACAGATCATCACCTTTTTCTACAACTAATATTTTATTTGTTTGATCGTTTCCTGTCACGTATTTTTCAATAGTACATAAACCTTGTTGATTGGTTTCTCTCTTTTTATTTGGTACAATGACAGTGGCTTGAGGAACAGGTGCACCGGTCATTAATTCAGTAACCCATGCAGTCAATGCGTCATTGTTACCTATATTAAATATGCTGACTGATTCGATCAGTTAAGTTTTTAAGGCAAAATACCTGTAGAAACAAATAGGTCAACCGCTAGCCGTGTACATTGTATCCAAGCTGACTTTACTTGTCGATATTGCCAATCATGATTTTGACATTCGCTCCATGCTTTTTTTGTTGGTTCAATTAATAGAATTAATTGTCCTGTTCCTGAGTTTTGATTTAGATATTGCTTCAACGGAATTCTTATTTCTTTCGGTTCATCACGCTCACAATTTGTTTGCATTACTTCATTTAATAACTCTTCGCCAGGTAGTTTATTGTACCACGGTTGATCTTCCATGGTATATGCATATGAATTAAAGCATGGTAACATTTGATCATAGTGTTCTGGTTTTACCCGATTAATACGAACTGTTAATTCGGAAAAATTATAAACCATAAATGGATAAAACGGTTCATCTAATACACCAGGATCCATCGTAACCATACCTACAACAAAGTTTTCGTTGAATTAACAATCAATGTTTATTGCGCTGTATTACCTGTAGCACCCGATATATCTCCCATTAATGGTGGTGGATCATGCACTTTAAATTGAATTGGTTTAGCAGAGAAATCGTGCTCCAATGTCTGGCCATGAATGTCTTTTAATGATTCTGCCTCTATGACCAGTGTGTAAACGGTGTTTGGTTTTGAATCATTATGTATCGTAACTTGTCGGTCATTGTATTCCATATGCTCGATACCTAAACGATAATATTTTTGTTTAGGAAAACTTTTCTCATCCACCCAAACACAGGTGGTGTATATTTACCTAAACCATTGACTTCTGGTTCAATTTTGAATAATGATTTGTTGACTGTCGAGTGATCTAATGAATTATTGAATGTGACCGACCAACTTTGACCGGGAGCAGCAGATTGTTGCCATGAATGTTTTTCACTAGGACACCAATCGATTATTTTCAATGGTTCGTAAGTGGAAAAGCTAGTTGACCACTCGGATGTTGTCTTTAATGGACCTTCAGCTGATGGACAGCCTATAGGTAGTTGAACAGTATATTCTGTTGCTTTCGATAAATCATTTTTAAACGTAAAAGCAACATATTTCTCGTGATTTCCTTCATCAGCTTCTATGTTTGATTCAAATTCACTCTTTGCTGTTGCTTCATCTAAGATTTCTAATTCTTGATTTTGAATCTCGTTTCCACTACTGCTTGCGACGCGTACATGCTTCAAAATTTCACTCGTATCAATTTTTTGATTAAATAATAGAAAACATTTCGGTTTTAATGTTGGAACCATTCCATGAGGTGAAAAATTAGTCACTTTTGCTGTATCTGTTGAAAATTGAAAAGCAAATGCTTCGGCTAACTTTCCTAGAATTAATCAAATCATCAAAAACTAGGTGTACAAATCGAAGTAGCTTTACTTCCTAGGGCTGATACACAACGTTCTTTGTCAACTTTTAGTGTAAATTTTGTCGAATATGGAAAACGATGTTTTGCCTCGAATTGAAGTGTTTTTGTTCCTGTCCATCTCCATCTACCTTCTATTTTCGGTGTTAACGATATTCCAAGTTCTTCGACATTTGTATTTTCATCCAATGAGGATACAGGAATCATTGGTTGATTAAATGTTAACGTTGCTGCTGGAAGTACGTAACCAATTAGTTCTTCACTAGGAGAATATCTTTCGATGATGAGTGGACCTGCATCTTGTTTAGCTAATTGTTTCAATTGTTCAATATCTAATTCGAAGTCTTCTTTACGTTCTAATAAAGGAGCTGGAAATGGTGTTTGTATTACTTTTGATGTTTTAGGTGCTTTAATTGTTGCTTCACGCTTGAAGAAGTCCTGTTCATCTGTTGTTTCTGCTACCAATTCAGAACTTGCTTGGCGGAACAAAGCCTGTAACTGATCGGAAGTTAAACTCTGCTGTTGTGACTCCTCACTCAATGGTACTACTTCAACAGCAGTTGTTGTTGTTGTATTGTCAGTTTCATTTGATTCAGCAACATTAAATTGAAACTGATAAGATTTTGGCTGTTGATTTTGGAACTTTCCTGGTCGTATTGGTTTCATTCGTCTCATGATACTTCGCTTATAAAACGTAAATGTAGTAAAATTTCAATTTAATCTAGAAAGACAAGAGAGTATATGTTTATTGCGGTACCCACAATGATGAAGATGTATTGATATTGCTTCATTACACTGACATTGAAGGATACATGACATACATCCTTGTGTATACATATCCTTCACATGTTGCAATGTTAATTATTTTCATTTTGCCTCATAAATTGCTACCATCTTTAAGCAATTACATATTTATTGGTTCGCTGCATATGCTTTATTGATGATAATCAATTTTCTCCCGATCGATGTTTTTTTTATCGGTTCTGTTCTCGAATGCATACTTTTGAAACTTCGATTTAATTGCTGCAAAGTCGTTCGAGGTAGTCAAATCTAACACGTTTTTTTTCATACTTTGCGCAAACAACGATTTACATCAAGTGCTCTCAGTGTGGGTGTCATGAAATAACCTGCTTTTTTTTTTTAAAACTTTGCAAAAAGAATTCGTTTTATAAAGATTCTGAGGTTCTTGGTGAAAGATGCAGAATCAAACTTATGATAAAAAATTGATAAAGAATCTGTAAGCTTACAGAAAAAAAAATTACCTTGTGTTGATCGTTATATTTCACATTCACTATGAAAGGGACAGAACATTATATAGTCGAGGATGAATAATAGCAGAAACATGAATAAGCGAAGCGAGAAAATGTGGATGATAGAATAGAATGAAAAGAAATAACTCAAACTGGATCTGCACAGCATGTATTTATGGAAAGAAAAGACCAATAACCTAGTTTTGAGTAGTGTAAATGTTATAGTCTGACATCTAGCGATGCTAAACTGAAAATGACGAAGGTATCAAATCAATTTTATGAAAGAAGTAACTTGAGAAAAACTTATACTAATTTTATAGTCAAAATGAAAAGAAATGCAGTAACGAAATGATTTTATAATATTTATTTCAATATATAATAAATAAATCTTTTATCTCTTTGTAGAATTTTCGATCTTTTCTGGTGTTAACGCTGTTGTAGACGGTCATCATCGGTACGATGTTCCAAGTATAAATAATTTAATTAAAATAATAAATCCAAATAAGCATTTTCAATTATCATATCGAAATTAACATATCCAGATGTACATATGAAAATTAAGGTATTCAATGTGACTTGTGGAAATCACATATCGAATCAATGTATGGAAAGTTAGGTATCGGAATTAATATTACGAAGTAGAAAATGGATGGGTGTGTT